GCCATTTATTTTTCAGAAAGATCAGTCCGGCTACTGAATGGAGAAGGCAGTTTGGTGGAAGCAGGCGACCAGTTAGGAGGCTATGTCAGAGCCCGTGACAGAGGTAATGGTGGACTCCAGTTGATTTGGAGAGGTTCAAGCGGTGTTTGGAAGTAGAGGTGATACGAATTGCTGAAAGATGGGAGACTGACCAGAGGAAGATGTGGGAGAGGAAGGAAATAGGGGTGCCTCTTCATTTTTGTTTCATTTGAATACCTGGATGGGTGGCTGTGCTATTCGTGGAAGGAGCAAAGTTAGGCAGAGTAGGAATTGGGAGGTGAGAGAAGTTCAGGAGTTCCATTTTTGGCATTTAGGGATGAAATGCCTATGGGACATCCAGGTGGAGATGTCAAATAGGCAGATGGATAAGTATGAGATCACAACCTCATATCTTCCCACCTCCCCCCGCCCTCCGCCACATACACAAATGGGACCAGGTACTGTTTCCTTCTCTGCAATTTACTTTTTCTCACTTAATAATAGCATATTTTGGAGGTCCCCCTAAATCAACCCATATGGACATAATTCATGCTTGCTTAATAATCCATGCGTAATAGTCCATGGACTGGCTACACTGAAATGTCTTCAGTCATTTCCCAAATGACGAGTGCTTGCTTTGTGTTCTAGTTTGCCCAATGTGAGCCTTTCTGTGATAAACGTGCTTCTGCGTATGTCCTGATGTCCTGGGACTCTTATTTCTATAGGCCGGATTCCTACTCCATCCCTGCCCCACACATCTGTCTTCCTTAACATTTCACTTTATAAGGATCCAAAGACCGTTTGCTAAATGTGTTGTATTTATTCAAGACAATATAATCATCATTGTTATGATTTGCTAAATAACAAGGGCACATCCAAACACTTTCCAATTCTTCATAAATAAAAGCCTAAGGCTGCTTTTTTGTTGGCCTGTGTCTCATAATTATTTTCATTTGTAGGAATTTGGGGGGCAGTGTGAATTGACAGAAACAATTTCCCTACCCCAAAATACAGTTATGTGTTCATTGTCTTTTCCCTGGGCATCCTTCCTATAGCTATGCCAATGAGAAATTCATGGGAAGAGACTTCTTTATGTAGATCACTGTTTTTGGTCTTTTTATTCATTTTTGTACGTGGAGTTGATCTGTCCCTCTCCCCAATGGTACCCCCATCCCCTACCTTCTTCCGTTGTTTTCTACTCTTTTCCCCTGCTCTCTGAACTGCATCCCCACCCCTTTCTATTTCTTCCTCCTGATAGGAAGAAGGAAGTGAGCCATATGAAATGGAAGACCAGTGCCGGCTCCAAACACTCTTGAAATGTCTCTGTATCTGAACCTATCTGCTTTTAAAGCTCTATTGAGAAATAAACAGAAAGAGAAGCTAAACCCTAGCACACAAAGTCTTTGCTGTGCCTCTTTAAACAAACCCCCATGCAATGCACGTGCAGTGAAAACAGGACCTGAGTGAGGACACTGAGGCTGGACCATGCAAGTCAGGTTTGGGGCCAGCCCTTTTACCACCCAGTCCTTCTCAAACTCTTCCCCTGGCTTATCATCCTCAACTGAACTTCTAAATGTTGGCATGTCTCAGGGAATAGTCTTGCACCTTCTTCCCTTCTAGCCCCGTTCCTGTTGCTGGAGGCTCAAGGGTCTAGGGATTGTCTTCAGGTTTGACAGGCTTGGGGATTTGCTGGACATAGCATGACTTCTTCAAACCTCTTTGTCCTGCTTTCTTACTGATTTCTGTTGGCTCTGTGGGCCAAACTGTAATCAAAGCTAGAGGAAGAGATATTGTGGAGCCCTGGTCCTTCAGTTGGTCCCACTTGACATTTCTGTCTCCTAACAACGGGTGGAGAAGTTGTTCTTGTCACCTGCATATCCCCTACCCCCCAGCAATCATGGCTTCCCCACTTGGCCTCTGCCTCCTCGGGCCCCTCTTGGATGGCCACCTGGAATGGTGAGGCACAGCTCATCTGCCTCCTGCCTACAAGCGACCTAGACCTCCAAGAGATGGCTCTTAACAGCAGTGACAGTGATCACCTTGGTCAAACATCGGCTGTACAGCGTGTTTTTCCTACGCCTCTGTTCTTTTCCTTTGTTCGCACTAGCCTTGTCTAGGGGCGATGGGCTGGATTTTGCAAGCTGGCAAGGTATATGTCTGTGTGTCTGCTTCTCAGCCACCTTGGGATGATTTCTTGCCAGCACTGGGAAAGTTCGCACTGCCTCACACTCCACAGTGACTCGGTCAGTTCCGAAGGCTCAGGGTTGTTCTGTCATGTGCAACTGCCTAGGTCCAGCTAACGCTGCCACCACAGAAAACGGCTTTATTTACCCAAAGAATGTGGATGGGCAGGAATGAGGGGGAGGAGACAATATGTGCTGGGCAGATGAAATCCCATGGCCACCATAGTCCAATCACATAGCGGCACCTATAGCCCTCCGCTGGCATTCTGTTATTTGTATGGGCAGCCTGAGCTTTAGTGGAGTGAGATGTCCTGAGGGAAGGCACTGTGGTTCAATCGTTTTTATATCTGACCCCAAAGTCCACACAGTTCAATGCCTGGCTCACAGTAAGTGAGAAACTCCTATTTATGGGGGAAAGGGGAGACAGAGGGAATGGTTGTTCTATCTCTTATGGAACTGGTCACATCTGACTGTCTTCTTTTTGTTCTCTCATCTCTGTCTTAGTTGTGTGTAGGGGAAGGCACATGCACACTTATATGTGCATTGATGGGTTGTTTTTGCCCAGCTTTATTGAGCTATAATTGACATATAGCGTTGTATGCGGTTAAGGTGTACAACACAATAATTAGATGATAGATAGATAGATAGAGATATGAACAATAAGTTTAGTTAACATCTGTCACCTCACAGTTACACATTTTTTTCTGGTAATGAAAACTTTTAAGATCTACTCTCTTAACTGATTTCTGTATTGATATTTATTTTGTACTCTGAGGATCCAATCACACCCACTGATTGCCTCCTTGAACGTGCTGAGTGGTGCCCATGGACTTGGGTGCAGAGTCCAAGCACCTTAGCTTGCTTTTCAGGGCTCCACACCTTCTAGCTCCATCTTCTGCCATATGCTCTCGGAGACCATGAGCTCTGCCCACACCAGATTATTAGGCATGACCAGAAGTGCCTTTGTGTGTGTTAGCATGCCACAGGGCCTTGTGCACAATCAGATCCCTCTGTTTGGAATGTCTTCCTTCCTGTCTCGACATTGGTTCACATTGGGGGTTTCATCTTCTGTGCAGCCTCACTTGACTCCTACCAGGAAGAGTTAGTGGCAGGGTCCTCCTTTCTGGAGCAAGTGGGACCCTAGCTTCTGTTATACTCTACTCTCATGGTTGCTCACTTGTCTATCCCCTCAGCATTTGGCCCCCTGTGGCCTCTCTGTTCCCACAACACACACAGCTCACCTTTTCTCACCCCACCCCACACCTCCAATATATCAACACTCACTGCTCACTTATCACATGGCCTGTCCCTTAGTTCCCAGTGCCAAGTACTTGATAAGGCTTTCACAAATATTACCTGATGAAGTGGCACCAGGCACCTCATTCTAGAGATTTGGGGTTTTGGTTTTGTTTTGAACATGGATGTGCATTTCTTGATTCATGTTAGTAACCTTAGCACCTCGAAGGCAGAGCCAAGAATGAACAAGTGCTTGGCTCTGGACCAGGCCCTGTCCCCAGCCCAGGGTATCATTGAGGACAGCACTAAGGACAGGGTGTTCTCGATTCCCCCACTGTCAGGCCGCACGTATTGAGGCTGGGTGTGTGGGAGGAACTGGGGAGGGGATGTGTGGAAGAACCCCATGTCCCTAGTTCTCCTGTAATCTGGAGCAGGGACAGGGTTTCCCACCCAGACTGTCCATTACCAAGGACAAGCCCCAAACCAGCTTATGTGTCCTGCTTGCCAGACCCTTGTATCCCTAGGGACCAGCACAAGCTCCATAAATATTTGTGGCATGGCATTATCAATGAATGAATACATGTCCTTGTGTTCTTTATTCCCTCTTTTGCAAGTGTTGCAGACGAGGGAAAGAGCTGGAAAAGGGGGAGGGATCTCTGAGAAAATGGGTCAGCAGGCTGCAGGGGGAGCTTGCCCCACTGGCCCCAGGTCCTGCTCAGAATAGGTGTTGTTTCCTTGGTGGCAGCGATGTTGCAAAGTGTGGATGAGGTGAAGTGGGGAGAACCCTTGAATGTGAGAAAACCATTTTTCTCGGCTTTGTTTAGGCCGGGCAAGTGTATTCTCAATGCCACCCACCCGTTCTTGCAAGGCACTTGATTTAATCATTTAGATGTTCTATGGGGGGTGTGTGTGTGGGGGGGGGGGAGATAAAACAAAACCAACCCTCTAAATCTAAACCGTATTTCCCAGTCCACAGTGGAGCCCTTTCCCTGGCTTCCTCTTCATAAATATCCAGGAACCTGAGAGACTGAAGACTCTCCCCGCCCCCACCCTAAGCCTCAGGCTCCCGCTCCCATCCCCGCCCCCTCCCACCGCCCGCGGCCCCACAGCCCCGCAGCAGCCACAGGGGGAACCAAAGAGACAGAAGCCTTCCCAGCTGCCCGGACCACAGACGCCAACACCCCCCGCCCCCCACCACACGCCGCCTTGCCCGCCCGCGCCCCGCACGCTAGCCCACGACCGAGAGGCGGCGGCAGCAGCAGGCTGCAGGCTGCGGTGACTCGCACCGGTGCGCTCCTGGCAGCGCTTGCTATCCCAAGTGACTCGGACTGGCCCCGGGTCCCCGGCCCCAGCTCCCGCTCGCGCCACCCGCCCTCCTGTCCTTTCGCGCCTCTCTACCCCCCAGCTCGCGGGAAGGGAGGTCGCGGCAGCGGCCTGGAGGCACCGGCGACCGTGGCGACAGCGGCGAAAGTGGCGGCGGCGGTGGCGGCAGCGGCTGCGGCGGCGGCGGAGGCTGCGGCGGCGACCGTGGCGGAGGCTGTGGCGGAGGCCTCCGTAGCGGAGGCGGAAGCAGAGGTGGAGGCTGAGGTGGAGGCCGAGGCCTCAGTAGAGGAGGCAGTGGCGGAGGGCACCCGGGGGGAGGTGGCGGCCGCCCTGGCAGAGGGGAAGGAGGCGGGGGCTGCCCTGGCGGCAGTGGTTGTGGAGGCTAGCGCGGCTGAAGCTGCCTGCGCCGCCGCCGCCGCCACTGCAGCAGCAGCAGCAGCAGCAGCAGCAGCAGCAGCAGCAGCAGCAGCAGCGGAGGCTGCGGCGCCCTCCTTGGGGGAGGCGGACGCGGAGGGGGACGCGGAGGCGGCGGCGGCGGCGGCGGCTGCAGCCGCGGATGCGGAGACCAGCAGGGTCTCCGAGGGGAACCCAGACTTTCCTATGGCCTCGCTGTACGTGGGCGACCTGCACCCTGAAGTGACAGAAGCAATGCTCTACGAGAAGTTCAGCCCGGCCGGGCCCATCCTTTCCATCCGCATTTGCAGGGACAAGATCACCCGCCGCTCGTTGGGCTACGCGTACGTCAACTACCAGCAACCGGTGGACGCCAAGCGGGCCCTGGAAACCCTGAACTTTGATGTCATCAAGGGCAGGCCCGTGCGCATCATGTGGTCCCAGCGGGACCCCTCGCTCCGCAAGAGTGGGGTGGGCAACGTCTTCATCAAGAACCTGGGCAAGACCATCGACAACAAGGCGCTGTACAACATCTTCTCGGCGTTTGGCAACATCCTCTCCTGCAAAGTGGCCTGCGACGAAAAGGGGCCCAAGGGCTACGGGTTTGTACACTTCCAGAAGCAGGAGTCCGCAGAGCGGGCCATTGATGCGATGAATGGCATGTTCCTGAACTACCGCAAAATTTTCGTTGGGAGATTCAAGTCGCATAAAGAACGAGAAGCCGAAAGGGGAGCCTGGGCCAGGCAGTCCACCAGTGCTGACGTCAAGGATTTCGAGGAAGACACCGATGAGGAAGCCACCTTGCGATGAAGACATGCCAGGAGCCAGTCAGCCAGCAGAGCCAAATCTTGGCTCCCACCCGGTTTACAACTCCCCTCTTTGCCCCCTAACCCACCAGCATTGTATTGTATTGTACTGGGAGTGCAGGTCTCTCTCCTCTCTCTCTCTCTCTCTCTCTCTCTCTCTCTCT